TGTGTGTGTGTGTGTGTGTGTGTGTGTGTGTGTGTGTGTGTGTGTGTGTGTGTGTCTTATTTTATTTACTTACATGGAGATCCTTCAGGTTCTTAAAATCTCCATCTTTTATTTCAGCAATTTTGTTGTTCTGTAAATCCAGCAGGGTTGTGTCTGGAGGGAGATCTTTTGGCACTGATTCCAGGCCTGGGAAAAGCAGAAAGATAAGTGATCAGCAGAAAAGACTACCTAATCATAAACTGTGATTTAAAAAAAAAACAAAACTTTTCATGTTGTGATAATTTTCTTTCCCAGCAACCTCCCTTTCTTCTTCAGGGATTGGCTTTAAAATATGTGCTTTATCTGTTCTCACTAAGGCTCAGCATTCTTTTTCTTCATTTAATGATAAACTGAACTAGATCTCCCTCCCCAGAACTCTGATCTGCAAGATGAACAAATCTGTTTCCCTAGAGAGTGCATACCAACCCCTGCACTCAGCAACACTTTTCCTCCTTCATTGTTTATTTTGTTTTAAATGCTTTTCTTTGATAAGGCTGTCTGTATGAGTCAAATGTCAAGATCTCCATTTCTTTCCTGAACACTCCCATAAGAAAATTTTAACAATATCCAAATCATCTGTTTTAAAGGCAAAGATTTTTTTTTCCAAAGTGAACACGTCAAAGACAGTCTTACCCTGGAGTAAATGAAGTGAGCTATTCTATTTTTTTGGTTTTCTCACAACCCTGACATTTTATCCACATTTTGTGGAAGAGAAATCTCTTCATTTTTGTTTCATTTGCCAAAGGGGTATTGGATAGTCTCAACTTAAGTCTCTCTTTGGGACCATTTTCTGAATAGTTATTATGGAGCTAAAATGAAGTCATGGAAACAAAATAATCACACTAAGTTGTTGGATCACGCTTACTGTTCTCATCTTTTGGCCATCTGACTGTGAGGCAGGAAGGCTTTTGTATGGATTTTAGCCATGGATTATCAAATGGTCTACAAAGGTCAGAGGGATTCACAATCAATCTACAGGGTCAATGGAGATAAGCCATATTTGGAATGACTGCATGGTGATATATAGAAATTATTTTAATAGCTAGCAAAGAGACTGTTAACTATTTTCACCCAACTTTCTTTCATATATTTAAACTATAGTGCCATACTTTTAGTCTACCAGAAACCTGAAATAATAATACCAACTCCATTCAACACTTAATTTCAACTGCATGAAATGTAAGACAGCATGGTGGAATGAATTGAAGGGCTGGTCTTTTAGGCAGAAAGACATAAAGTCAGGTTGTATTTCTGACAAATAATATCTGTGTGACCAAGGACAAATCATAGCCTCTTAGTGTTCCATGCAACTTCCTAAGACATTCAATTACCAATGAATCTGTGATCTGCATCAGCATAGAATGGAAGCTCAGTGAGGTCAGGAACTGTGTCCCTAGTGGCTACCCCATAATGGATACTTGTTGTTGTTTGTCCTTCATTCTTGAAGAGGACCATGACATCAGGGAGATGATGCCATGACATGCAAGTGAATTGGATTTAAGTAAGAGAGGACTGTTCAAAGTCACCAGCTTTACTTTCTCTTCTGGAACCATCTGGGTCCAGTGGCGAGATATAGATCAGGACAACTGGAGATGGCCCTGGATACAGTGGAAGACCTTGGCTTTTTTGAGCTAAGGTCTTTAACAGGTCTCAATTTGACTGAGGGAATGCCCATTCAGTGATTAAGGATAGGTAAGAAATGAAGCAGAGAATGGTCTCTATACCTAGACAGAACAGAAAAAGAAAGAAAAAGAAAGAAAGAAAGAAAGAAAGAAAGAAAGAAAGAAAGAAAGAAAGAAAGAAAGAAAGAAAAAGAAACAAAAAAAAAAAGAAATCTAGGCATGAAAGACCCTCAAGGTTTCTGGCCAAAACAGAAACGATTGCTATTTACATTCACTCTAAGCGCTTATTGACCAATTGATCAGTTAATCAACGGATATTGTTTTCATAGTGTTCCTTTCCTCCACACTGATAAAATCACAGCCCATTTTTTTGAAGTACAAGAAACTGCTTTATCTCTTTTATTTTATCTTAAGTGAATTTCATCATTCATTTTTGCATGCATGCATCCATGTGTGAATTCATTCATTCTTTTAATAAATGCATTTTGGAGAGAAGAGATAGGGCATCTCATTATAATGATGGTATTCCTTTCCATTCCCTTCAACTGGAATTTATTAAGTGCCAACTGTAAACAAGTCACTTTACAAGGTATCACTCTAGTTCTTTAATCTTAGAATAGTTTAAAACATTTAATTTGAATGTATTTTGAGTGTTTAATAGAAGTGGTCACTCTATGGTAACTGGCTACCCCTGTATATCAAAAGACTGGAGGTGGAAATTGCCTCTCTAACATTGCATAACCAAGATTACTTTCTAAGAGAAAGACTTAGGTTAAAGAATGCTATTTTTTTTTCTGTTATCACCTAATTCCCAATTGTTTCTAAGCTTTGTTTACAACGTGATCATTTTACTCAAGGTCGTTCTTGGTCCCAAATCAATCGTCCACTGTGTTTCTCATTCTGGAAATATATTAAAAAAGAAAAAAGATGGGAGGAGCTAACAACAGGATAATATTCCCTTAGGCTGAGTTACAGAAATCATCCATGGAGAAATAATGAGCGAAACACTTTCAACAACTGGTAGAAAACCACCAAAGTAGTCAGCCTTGCAAGAATGTATTCAGTTGAGGTTTGTAATAGCAATGGTTGCCATTTTAGGAAATGATAATTTACTAATTGCATGCCATTTGGGAAGTGGAAACTTCTGCCAAATTTCTGTTAATTAGATACTTGAACAGAAAGCACAAAGAGATAGCAATATGCCTTTCCTTGAGAGGGGGAATTTAGGCAAATGCTTCCATGTCTTTGTTTCTCATAGAGCCTTTCTAATATCTCCATTTTTAATGGATTTTCTTTATATACGTTTGACTTCCATGTCTGACTTAACATTGGGTCCTGGCCAAACTGAAAAAAAAAATAAAACACCAGGTGGGACATGAAATGAGAAGGATGTCAAAACACAGTACATCTGGCTATGTGACAAGGATAATTATGGTAATATCCCTGAACTTGCGTTCAGCAGGAAACTGCTTGGGGTGAAATTCGTGCATTTTCACATCTCAAAGCTTGGGAAGAATCTCATCATCTGTGTGAAACCATGGAAAAGTCAGAATTTAGAATTTGGGCGAGGGAAGGTACATCCAGATATTAAGGCCATTAACCCTAGCTTATCCCCTCTTTACCCTGATGAGCCTCATGGCAAACCTATGGTACTGACTGGTACTTCATCAAGATGAATGCTGACAGAGAGCCTTTAGCAGTCCAGGAAGCAGTTAATCTCAGTAGTGTTTCTGGAAAGCATTCCTTGTAATATATCATATAATCTTAGGGCTAGTAAAGATGTTGGGAGATTCTATCACTCATCCATCTACCTCTAGTATGATAGAAGGATTACCTCTACGCTATTGACTCATGAAAGTAGTACAATGCCCTCAGCAAAATGGGCCCCAAATTGCTGAAGTAGATATTTTTACTCATACAGCTTAATATACATAGATATGAATTTGTAACTGTCCTACTCAAACATCTTCAGTGGTTCCTATTGCCTACAGAATAAAATATAAATTCCTTATATAAGATATAAATAAGAAATAAATTCCTTAGCCTTGTATTTAAGGTCCTCCCCCCAATCTAGTTCCAACATACCTTTCTAGGCTTATTTCCCACCACTCCATCTATTATAATCAATCAACAAGCATTTATTAAGCACCTTACATAGGTTTCCAAAGTGAGTGATACCACCCCCAGGGGGTGCTGGAATAATGCGAGGGGGGGATAATAGTTTGAAATGATGCAAATAAAAAAAAACATTAAAGGGTTAAAGAAAGTAGATTTCCAGGAGGTTCTAGATATTTTTTTAAAGGGGCAGTAGGCCAAATAAGTTTGGAGATCTCTGACTTGTTCCAAAAATTGTGTTAGATACTGGGGATAGAAAAAGAGAAAAGAAATTGCCCCTGCCTTCAAGGAGGTTATAGTCTATAAAGGGATATAGAATGTACATTAAATATAACTATGTATACAAAGGTACTATGCATATTACCTTTATATGCAGTATATATACATATGTGTATATATGTATGTATGTATATTTATGAATGTGTGTAGATATAAAACGTGTGTGTTGTTCAGTCATGTGCAGCTCTCCATGACCCCATTTGGGCTTCTCTTAGCAAAGATACTGGAGTGGTTGGCTCTTTGCTTCTCCAGCTCATTGTACAGATGTAGAAACTGAGACCAACAGGTTTAAGTGATTTGCCCAGGCTTACACACACAACTAGTAAGTGTCTGAGGCCAGTTTTGAAATTAGGTCTGTCTAATTGACTCCAGGCCCAGCTCTCTATCCACTGTGCCACCACCTCGCTGAGATATCTGTGTGTATGTGTGTGTGTATATGTATGTATATGTGTACGTATGTGTGTATGCATATATGTGTATATATATGCTTATGTATATAGAATAGGTATTTGGGTACTTATCTCTTTGGGGGGCACTAGAATTTCGAAGAAAAGGAAAGGTTTCATGTTGAAGCCAGCTCTTAAATAGACATCTGAGGGGAAACTGTGTTTTCGGTTGGTCAGTTTCTTCTTGTCCATTCCTACATCTCTTAGCAGTTCCCCATGCCTGGATTTGCCTCCCACACATTTCCATCTGGTTCAACTGAAATCAATGAACATTCAATCCTTACTGATCTGTTTCTACCTTCATAGAATCTCTCAAATATGACCCTTTCTCTCCTCTCACGTAGCCACCCCCTTAGGTCAAGTTCTCATCATCTCTCACCCAGATTATAACAAGAGCTTCTTAATTGATCTCCCTCTTCTGAAGGCTCTCTCCCCACTGCAGGCCATCCTCCAGATGGACTCCTTCCCTTTGGGGAAGATCTGATTGTCACTTTCCTACTCAATCTACCCCGTGCTTCTCTGTTACCTCCAGGAGGAAATATGAACTCTGCTGTTCAGCCTTTAAAATCTATCATAACTTGTCTCCAAATTCCCTCTCTAGCCCCATTTTATATTATCTGCCTTCTAGCATTCTGCTACCCAGCCAAACTTTTCTGCTCTTAAGTGACTCAATCCCCGTCTCTGG